TATGTTATGCATCGATAGCAGCAACAGCTTTTCCAGGTTCTGTAGTCATTTGAACAAAATTATAGACATTCAGCACATTCCATTAAAAAAAAAACAAAGAAAAGAATAATATCCAGACAACAGCAAAGTTCTGTTGCTGTTGTGGTACCTGGCACCATTTTTTCTATTAGCCTCTTAATCATCATCTGGAAAGAGAACATTCTAGAGTAATATCTTTAAATGTAGCTCTGATAAAGCACGGTCCCTACTATGTATCATAAAGCAGGTACTAGATATTTTACATTCATAGAGGTATGATACAGTATTGTCCTACATCAATAATACTAGATTCAGTTTTGGTTTGAAATTTACTTTGTCTGCAAATAAGATTGCTACCCCTGTTTTTTCGGGGGGCTGGGAGCCACTTCTAAGATCAATGGAAAATAAATGTCCAGGAGTCACACTCAAGCCAAAGAGTTTAAAGACATCCCTACTGTTTCTAAGTGCATTTAAGTTTGAGACATATTGTAAGGTATTGATATAGCTTCTGGAAGATTGCAGAGTGAGTATTAGGGATCCAGGTGGGTAGTGTCTGAGCTTCGTCATGGAGAGGATTACTGGCTTCTCTCCTGCTTTATTAGTCAGAAAGAACCTTCCAGGGCCTGCAGTGTGGGTCACAAATACCCACTGAATAAATGTATTGAGTTCACCATATATTTGGGCTAGCTTGCCAGGATGAATAGAACGTGCAGTTTACAGTGGCAGCAAATAGTTTTCAAAGAAGCACTTGAAGTTTACAGGGGCTGGAGACAAGCCTGAATGAGATCCAGGAAAGAAGCAAAAGAGAGTGTGACCGTCTCTACTTTGTGATCTGAATGTCCCGATACAGAAGCACAGAGAAGGTGATGCTTGATCTGAGACTTAGAAGACAAGCAATAGGTCACTAATGAATAAATTGGTGGGGTGAAGAAATTGGGACCCAGGGAGAGTCTGAACCAAGGTATTAATGTTTAAAACAGTCTGTGACAGTCAACATTCCATACCCAGGCTCTGGAGGCAATAAATATGTTTTGAGCAGCTGCACAGCGTTATAGTTGCAGGTGCCAGCTACCACCCAGGCAGAGCCTTTGGGCTGAGATCCAGCTCCCACTTACTGGTTCATTCTCAGTAACTTCTCACCTCAGTGTCTCTGCCCCAAAATAATATAATACTGAGCACCCATCTCAGAGTCAACTGGGAAGATTAACTGAGCTCATACACACAAAGCACTTAGAATTTGTGTTGCCATGTAGGAAGCACCCAATAAATGCTATCAGCCAATGGCTGAGGTGCCTGGGTAAGAGGTGGATGCTGGGACCCCAGCTGGACAACATGGCCAGAAAGGGAGGATTGTGCAGTAATGAGGGTGTAAGGCAGGGCTTGCAGTACTGCAAGTGGCGTGTGTGCCTGACTTCATTTGGAGCATTTGTTCTTAGCTGTGCTTCCAGTGGCCAGAGGGAAGACAGCAGCAGCCATGATGCAAGGCTCCATCACCTCATACACCAGAGGTGAGGTGAGCCAGCCCTTGGAGTCTGGGGAGTCTCTGCATCCCTGGTCTCCCACCTTTTTTTGTAAACATTCTTCCCTCTCGGTCTGAGCAAAGAGCTGCCTTATATTATTGACAAATATTGACATTATATGAAAACTAGATTGTTTTTCATGACACCATGTTATTTACACAGAATTGCAAATCAAACAGCTTCTCAGAGAAGAGAGTCAGCAGGGCATGGAATGCAGGGACCGATGCCCAGCCATGATGCCCCTATGTCTAGGCCAAAGATTTTTCTGCCCTCCACCTATGGATTCATCAGTCTTTCCCACTTTTGGATAACTCCTTGGCCTTTCCCTCAAGCGTCTTTGACAGATTTCATCTTCACACATACCAATCTAGAGGGACCTTATGACTCAAGGTCAGACGTCTCTTCCTGTCCCAAATATTCTGGCTGTAGTGAATCAAAGCCCTTCCCCCTTGAGATCTCAGAGTAACACCCATGTGCTGATTCTACTACCCATAACAGCTCCATGTTAATACTGTGTGTTTTCCTCTTTTAAAGTAGTTTCCTTGAGATCTTCCCCGCTCCTGCTAATGGTGTGAAGATACAAGCTGATGGCTCTGCTGTTACTGGCCTCCTCCTCCCCTGCCCAGGACCTTGTCAGCATCGCAGCCCTTCAGTACAAATCACAGAGTGGACTTCATGTCTTTGCAGGTCTCTGTAGACCCAGAGAGAAGGAGATTTAAGTGTAACACGGAATTTAGACCCTGAACTAAAACCGACAGAAGTCTCTAAATTCTCATTTGGCAGAAACTGCTCACACCTCGGCTTCTCCTTCTCAAGGTGCCAGAGACTTTGGGAGATAGGAGTAAAGAGTCGTCCCCCGCAGCTGCTGAGCTCAGAGGGGATAGAGGTGAGTAGGATGGTCCTTACCATTACACAAAGCAGCATGGGTCCTCGGATGATCCACCAGATTATCTTATTCCCATTTGTTGCCCAGCACCTAGGGGCAAAGAACAGGCAGGAGAAGTCAAAAATGAGATGAGGTTGAGTGGCAAAATCTCATGACCTGTGGAGGAAACCTTACTTTAAACCTTACTTTCTAACATTCATTCTCCTGAGTGGGACAGAGAGAAAAGAAGACTAAAATCCTTTGTGTCAGTCCTAGTATTGTGAGCTTTTCTTACCTTGAAATTGTTCTTCATTCTTAACAAGACAGTGTGTGGATCCATCTAAATTTTTCTACATCATCATGCAAACATAAATCCTTAATACAGATTCTTTATTACTTAAGAAAAATGTTTTTCCTAGTTTCATGTTAATATATAAGTGTGTATATGTATATATATATATATATATATATATATATATAT